TAATAATAATAATAATAATAATAATAATAATAATAATAATAATAATATACTATTAAACATGTACAAACATTCTTGCAAAAAGAATAGCATCAGGAAGTACAGTAACAGAGACAAGAATACTATACTATCTTTAAAAATGGTTGATATACTATATCAAGGTAAGCACTTCACAAAAAAGAAAAGTTATCAGTCAGAATGTTAATAAAAAAAACTCCAGGAAGAGAATGAACAAAATTTATACCAGGATTTATAGATAACTTACAAAAACAGCTAATGCCAAAAATATATAACACAATTGCTCTTACCTCATCTGCCATTACACGCTTCAAGTTCTACAATTGAGGGAAATAAAAGAGACAGACAAAAATGAATCAACGGATCACAAAAAACCCAGTAGCAAAAGATAAATTGTTAGGTAGACGTTAATGGCCACAAATATTTTCATCTTAGATATACGAAACACAACTGAACTTCCAGCAGAACTTCTGGCCCTTGAAGTAGTAGAGATTTTGATCTTTGTTACATTTTCTGCAGAGTTACAGGCTTTAAATGTTTTGTAAGCCAGAAGAACATACACCCCATGCGAAAGGGGAAGGCTTGGAAATCAACCCTTTTGCTCCCCTGAATAGTCGGACTCTCTCAGACTGCTGCTTGAAGTAGTAGTAATTGGGTGAGTCCCTAGCTTTGGGGCAGGGCAACCATGCAAGTTCGCTGTGGAAGAACAGATGTTCTTAACGGACAATAAAGGGTACCACCATTTCTTGGGCACTAAGATTTTTTTGCATATTTACCTTTCATGCTGAAAGTTAGTTACAGTCTGCCATTTCCTTTTTGTGGAACGATTGTCATTTTTGAGGCTTTGTGATTTCAAGATGGTGAGGAGGGAGGAGTTGGTCTAACCAAGCCAAAATAAAGAACCTGGAAACTACTAAAAACTAAAGCATTGTAGAAACTATTTTTGAAACTTTTGGACTTAAATTTTCCAGAGGATTATACTGCTAGCCAACTCTGCCAAACTTTTCTTTTTGAGCTTAAAATAAGAATAATTTGAATGGTGTTTTGAGCTCGCTGCTTGCCATGAGGAAGGGGTGAAACAGTTTTGATTTTAACTCCTTCTGATTGGTTTAGCCACCAGAGTTTCTTTAAAAAAGAGGCAGAGCCTAAGCTTTTTTGGCTGTTTGTGTAAAGAGGTAATTTACCACAAAAGACTATAGTACTGCTAATTCTTTTTAATGTTTCAGTAGCATGATTAAATCCAGTGGATTTAATGCTACAAACTTAAAACTTCTAACTTTAAAAATTAACTTTAACAATTCTAAATTTAAATTTAAAAATTCAAATTTATTACATTCTACCCAAATGGCTACTCACAGGACAACAGAAAACTGGAAAGATTATCAAGAGATATAGAATTTCTGAGACCCTTTATGGACAAATACACAGCTAAGACACATGAGTTGATCCAATCTATGGGAATAAAGCTTGAATCCAAGAGTTATTCTTTAGCTAGGGAACTTTAGGAGAAAAACCAATGTTTGAATGGAGATATGAAACAATAGCAATAGCACTTAGATACCACTTTACAGCCCTCCCTAAGCGGTTTACAAAGTCAGCATATTGCCCCAAACAATCTGGGTCCTCATTTTACTGACCTCAGAAGGATGGAAGGCTGAATCAATCTTGAGCCAGTGAGACCTGAACTGCCAAACTCTGGCAGCCAGTGGATCAGCAAAAGTAGCCTGCAGTACTGCACTGCATCACCGCAGCTCAGTAGAATAGGTGAAGAATGGCGCACAAATTGAAGAAGAGAAACCCTTTATGTGAAATTGAACCGGAAGAGAGGGCAATTTTGGAAGCACAGATTAAATTTCTGGAATGACTCACTTAGTGATGGTAATCCACTAAGTGATGGTAACTCGCTTAGTGACGGTGTCAGTGTTCAGGGAGAAGCTGAAAAGATATGAAGCTAGAGAAGGTTGAAGCACAGGAGCAATCAATGCCACACAGATCAGAGCGATGGAACAAAGAGATTCCATTGACAGATATTCTACTAGTAAAGTTAAAGTGTGTAATGTATGATATGAGCCAAGGATCTATAAGGAAGTATTGGCATTACCTAAAATTGAACAAGTAAAATGGAAAGAAGCCATGGACAAGGAAATGAAATCCATGGGAGAACATAGTGTTCACATCTATGACTTTACCACAGCAAAACTGTAGAATGCAAGTCAGTATACAAGAAAATACTGCCCAATAATGAGGTACAATTTAAAACAAGGTTAGTAGCACAAGGGTTTTCACAGATGAAAAATGTGCATTATGGTGAGGTATTTGCGCCAACTGTAAAGAGTGAAAGCATCAGGCTGGCACTAGCGTTGGCAGTGGCACATGGCCATAAAATCTGGCATTTTGACATAACCACTGCATTCCTCAATGCAGAATTAGAGGAAGAAATTTACATGGTTCAAGCACCAGGGTATGAAAATAAAAAGCCTGACATGGTGTATAAATTGAACAAGGCCATTTATGGGCTGAAGCAGTCAGCCAGGAATTAGAATATATGTCTAGATAAAGCATTGAAAGGTCTTGGGTTCAAGAGTTGCAAGGCTGATGGTTGCATATACACTGGAAATCCCCCCCTTGTAATAGGTGGGGATTGTCAACTATTAGCATTTGTGGATGATCTTTTGCTTCATTGCAAAGGATGTATCACAGGTAAACGAATTTGCTAATAAGTTAGAAAAGAAATTTGAATTAAAGAATTTGGGAGAAATAAAACATTATCTCCATGTGGAGATACAAAAAAACTGAGAAAAGTAGTTATATTCTCAATTATATTCTCAGTCCTCCAGCTCCTATGATGGGAGACAGACAGGGGAAGATTTCCCACCAGACAGGGAAATGCTAACAATGTCTGGGATTGGGAGAAGAACATCTTTGTTATGTTGTGTGTGTTTGTGCGTGTGCACACACAACACACCACTCCAAGCTTGGAGGCTTTTATCCACATCTGAGCTTGCAAACTGCCAATCATGCCTAGGTTTGAGAAGACCCTCTCCTTTCTATGTGGATAAAAGTCCCCAAACTTAAAATACAGTGTGTGTGCGCACGCGTATAAACACACACACACACACACACACACACGGTTGCCTGCCAGCAGTTTGGGAAGGCAAAGAGCTTGTGGGGCACTGAACTGTCCCCATGTTGAGTTAGCCATCATGACTTGCTCTATCCTGAGTAATCTGCGCCCAATAAGTGGCATTGAGCCAGTCACATCTACCCAGCTATGCCCACCTAGTTGTGGTGACTGGCTGTGACCACCCAGCCACCCCAACCAGCCATGCCCACCTGGCCACTGTAAGTCATCATAGTCTTACATGCGACTAGCCCTTTGAGGGCAACCATAATGGTGATGTGGCTCTCAATGAAATTGAGTTTGACACCCCTGATCTTGGTGGTTCTATGTCCTCTTTTACTTTTCTCTTCTTGATGTGTTAGCTACTAAGTTATCTTTTTTTCTATATCCTTCTATGTTTTTTCAAAGATCCCCAGTCAAATTCAGGAAGTAGCACAACCTTAAGCATGCATCTAACTTGGCTCTTTCTCTATGACTGGTGGGCCTTTAAAAATATTAACTGTGGCTCCATTCAGTAAAATCACCCCATGGTGTAGAAGTACTATATTTCGATTCCACAAAATTCTAAATGAATGAAGGCAAATATACATGTCCCAGGATAGTATTGCAGGATCTAATCTGATTGGATCCAGATTGAATCCTGCAAAGTTAAAAATTATTTACATTTTTTTATTTCTGTATTTCATCTAATCCTCACTTTCTTTAATTCCATTGTGTGTAACTATATTTTTTGGGTTCGTTAATTTTAATCTGTTTTTAAATCTGCAACTCTCCTTTATGGGTAGAATTGCAGCAATAAAAATGAATATCCTACCTAAAATACTTTTTCTTTTCCAAAACATACCAATAAAATTAGAGAAAAAATACTTTGAAGATTTGAATAAAACAATATTGAAATATATTTGGCAGGGGAGGAAACAGAGAATTAAATTAAAATTATTACAAGATGCCAAAGAAAGAGGGAGATTTGGTTTATCTGATTGGGAGCTGTATTACCAATCCCCTGCATTAAATTGGGTGTGAGAGTGGATAAAATTAAAAAATAGGAGGTTACTAACAGTGGAGGGACATGACCTACAACCAGGATGGCATGCTTTTTTATGGGATGAAAGACATACAGTCCAACAGTACTTCCAGAGGCATTATGTAAGACATAATCTACTTAAGGTATGGATAAAAACTAAGCAGCAAAATTACATAAAGAATCCAGTATGGCTCTCAACACTAGAAGCAATAGTGCATCCAAATTTTATTAATATGGGGAAAGTCATTACATACAAAAATCTACTAGATGGAAAAGGAGAACTAAAATCCAGACACGAACTGAAAGAAAGGATACAACTCCAATGGTGGGCATACCTACAAATCCAATCAAGATTCAAGAAAGACATGAAAGAATGGGACATACAGAGAGAATTGATGGCATTGGATAAGATACTATTAGGAATGGAGGGGAAAACAATCAAGAGAATATACAAATATCTACTAGAATATAAAATGGAGGTCGAAGAAGTAATAATAAAATGGGTTCAAAATTTTGGTAATAGAGTTAGACAATTGGCAAAAGTTATGGGAAAGAAATAGAAAATTAACATTGACAACTTCGTATAAAGAGAACCAATATAAAATGTTTTACAGATGGCATCTTCCTCCAACTAGATTGGCCAAAATTAATAAAAGTACATCACCACATTGCTGGAAATGTAACATAGAGATAGGGACCTATTATCATATGTGGTGGAAATGTATAAAAGCAAAAAAAAAAAAAAAAACTGGTGGAAAATAAAGGTTTGGATAGAAGAGATGGTTAACCAGAAAGTAGAGTTCAAACCAGAACGTTCTTACTGAGAATTATTAATGAGAAATACAGTAAAGGAACAATATATTTAATGATACATAATAATAACAGAGATTGGTGTATGCCCAAAACTGGAAGAATGAAGATACCCCTACAGAAAGTGAAATAATAAGGAAAATATTAGTCTGTGCAGAGATGGACAGACTAATTTTAGAAATCAAAGATAAGGATGAGACAGAGTACTATGAAGTCTGAAGTAAAATGTATCAGTGGCTAAAGTCAAGGAAAAAGAAAGGATTGACGCTTTATAGGAATGAAAGCTAAATTTTTGTAAACCAAAGAGAATGGAATATAATGGACAAATATGAGATGATACAAATGCATGAGTATAAAAGACA